AAAAGTTATATTGTCCCCCCTGTTTTAATATATTTGAATAATATACTGGATAAAAGAGCGTAATTGAATGTGAATGTTAACAATATTTGTTTTGATCTATACATTTTTGATATGGAGCAATGTTTGTTAAGATATATGTAAAATTGAAAAATAAACAATGTATGTTTACATCAAGAAATGTAAATAGTAAATAATGGTTGTTAATATTTATAAATGTAAACAATAAACAATGTTTGTTTATATCTATAAATGTAAACAATAAACAATGTTTGTTTAGATCTATAAATGTAAACAATAAACAATGTTTGTTTAGATCTATAAATGTAAACAGTTTAAGAAGAGGGAGATTGTAACTGATGTTGCTGGTTTAATAGTCTGGAAGGTAAACAGGGGGGAAATCATAATTCCAAAAATTTCAAATAATTTTTTATTGATAATTGATTAATTGTTTCATTATGGGTTATAATGTTCACATTAATTGTCTCATTTGACATGATTTACTGCTGCTCCACATACATCGTGGTTTCTTTACTAATGATCAAAATGGCCTCTAATTATAATTTAATGAAGATTAAACATTAATTCTTTATTTCTGCGGACAATTTCTGGAGAAAATTAAATACATGAGTTTACCACTGTGTTTGGGATTATGAATATAAATTAAAGGATTGTTCACAGATATAAAAATAAAAATGATTCTCCAATATTTAAAATTAGGAACGACTTTTCCACTAAAACCCACTCTTTCTTTGGTCAGAATACTGCAGATCACTGTATTACACACCCTAAGTTCAGTTTAGAGTGACACAACTGCGCTTAAGGATGTCTCTGAAGGCGAGAATGTTTAGATATAAAGATTTGATTAGGATCATGAATATAAGACATTTGTGTTTAGGATCGAAAACTACTGTATACTGTATCAACAGAAGTAGTCGTTGACTGCCCCATGAAGTTTAGGTAACAATAAACACCATAATTTGTTCACGCTTTAACAATATAATATATAGTGCTCTACTTTTTTACTCTACAGAGGTTTGGTCCATCACCATCACTGAATTTTGAAACTTTATATATTTTTGCTTATCTGTGTATACACCCACCCCTTTTAGAAAGGCAGCTTACATGTTATTTTGTTCTGATAAATGGGTGGAAATGGGATGGAAAAAATCAATATGTTGGCAGTCATTCCCAAAATGATATCTGGGCTAAAGATATTTATTTTCACTTGGCATCTTCAAATATTTTTGAGTCAATCATTTGTTTAAAGAAATAAACTGCAACAAGTCTTCAATATCTAATACAGTAGAGGAAGACATTCAAAACTTTTCACAAACTGTCATGTTTCTTTGGACACCCTGCACTTAAAAATATGTTTTAAAATGAACAAAAAACATTCTTTTCGTGAAAGTTATATCTCTTTTTGTCTAAGGGTAAAATTCTCAGATTTTGGTGGAGCCTTTAAAAGACCTAAAAACTAAAAAAGTTCAGTAAAAGTTATTGTTCCAGATCTGTCATCTACAGTTGTAAATCTAAAAAAAGATCAATAAAAGTTATATTGTCCTAGATCTGTCATCTACAGTTGTAAATCTAAAAAAGTTCAATAAAAGTTATATTGTCCTAGATCTGTCATCTAAAGTTGTAAATCTAAAAAAGTTCAGTAAAAGTTATATTGTCCCAGATCTGCTACAGTTGTAAATCTAAAAAATTTCAATAAAAGTTATATTGTCCCAGATCTGTCATTTACAGTTGTAAAACTAAAAAAGATCAGTAAAAGTTATATTGTCCCAGATCTGTCACCTACAGTTGTAAAACTAAAAAAGTTCAGTAAAAGTTATTGTTCCAGATCTGTCATCTACAGTTGTAAATCTAAAAAAGATCAGTAAAAGTTATATTGTCCTAGATCTGTCACCTACAGTTGTAAATCTAAAAAAGTTTAGTAAAAGTTATATTGTCCCAGATCTGTCATCTACAGTTGTCTTTTCCAGAAATCCCAACTTTAGGATTTTTGACCTAGAAATGTAAGATAGTAGCGCAAACCGGGTTTAATTTTTTTTTAAAGGGCCGGGGGGGATGATTTGATAAAAAGATTGTAAAGATAGTAAAATAAGTAATCTATATTAATTAACAATTCATCATAAATTTCATTTTAAATTGAATTTTTTATACTTGGTTTTAAATCTAAAAATTTTATAAAATCTACAACATACCTTGTTAACAAAGAAATTCTTTAATTTGCCACTTTCGTCCGTTTCAGGGATCTGCCTCACCCTTTTTCTCAGCATAAAAGAATTGAACACTATCCACAAATTAAAATTTTCTAGTCCCTAAATCTTTGCAACCTCAAGGTGTAAATCCTTGATATTTCAAACTTTAATTAATTCATCAAACAGTATTTGAAATATCAAAGATCTGCAACATCAGGTTGCAAAGATATATGAATTATAAAAATTGAAAATGTGGCAGGTTTTTAGTCACTTTCCTAAATATTTGTGTTTAGTGCCTACCCCCTGGATCTAAATATTTGTGTTTAGTGCCTACCCCCTGGATCTAAATATTTGTGTTTAGTGCCTACCCCCTGGATCTAAATATTTGTGTTTAGTGCCTACCCCCTGGATCATCAGCGATGTAAGTTCCTTGTAGGTTCATACATACACGATAATACTCAGGCAATCATTAACAAATCAATTCTAGAAAACATCTTTTTTATCTTTTACAAACAAATAAGAAAGAAAATATTAAAAGAAGTTTGTTAAAGTTTGTTTGCACAGATTAGTTTCTCTGGGAAGTTTGTACATGATATAGAGAACCAGCGAGCTCAGCAGTACATGATAAACTGTACAGAGTAAGTATGGTTTACTTTTTTCTAGATTTACATTTCAGTGCAAATTTTATCTCTAAGGAACCGTGTAAGCGTAATTTTTTGTAATTTTTGCTGCAGTACTGAACAATTAGTAGCAAAAACTCTATGTTAGTGACTAACAAGTAGGGTATCGGAATTTCGTTGCGCGGAATTGCGCGCAAATGTTCTATAATTACGCGGAACTGCGCGGAATTGCGAAGAGTTTACAGGGGTGACAATTGCGCGCAAGTAAAATCCACTTGCGTTGGAAACCCAACTTACAAGAGTTTCTCAGCACTGAATTTTCCCTAATAGATAAAAGAATATTTCTCATACTTTGTATGACAAAGGTTTAAGAGGTACCTTTTAAACCGGAATTTAAATCAAAGGTCACTTAAAGTTTATCACAATATCATATTTTTCTTAAAGATAAAGTTACTGAAAGAGTTTCTCTTCAAATTAGCTTAACAAAAACTGAACCAGAGCTGAAAACTTTAGAATGAAATATCCTTAATCCAGATTACTTAATCTGATTATCCAATGGACACACTTTTGATTTTCTTCTTAAACTGTTCTTTCTTGGATATAGTAGAGAAAAATCAAAAACCGGTTTTATAATTTAGAGAGTCCCTCCCGTTTCTGTATATAATCTTAAATCGTGCGCAAAATTTTAAATTTATCGGCTTCATATACGCGACTCTGATTGGTTGAATTTTATACACTTTTCAGGATACAAGTACAAGATTAGGTTAGTATCGATATTAAGAAAAAGAGAGGATCAAGCACTAATCTCAATTCTAAAGTTTTCAGCTCAGTTCCGATTTCCGAATAAGTAAACATTCCCTTTAAGTGGAAAATAACAGAGCTTCTAGACAATGAGAATATTTAAGTATTTTATAAACTTTATAAATTCATTTATACTATACAGATATTGTATTTATACTATACAGATATTGTGTTACGTTTGCTTTTAAGAAACTTGACATTCAAGCATGATAAAACTATTCATTTCTGCAAACATAAGAAAGCTTTTTCTTCAAATTCTTTCTTTTCATCAGGTCTAGAAGAGTAGGTAGTAATTAGAAATAGCAAGATTATTTTATTAACCTTTTAAAGTTTTTTTTTAGACCAGAAAAATCATCAAGGTTCCAACATCTTAAACTGTCTTCTGTAAAAGTTTGCTTTTATGATATTTTACAAAAATTTTTGCAATGAGAAACAATTTAAGGTTTTTGGTTCGTTATTTGCAAATATCTTATCTCGGGGTTGAAATTTGCCAAATTGTAAAAAATCACATTCACAACATGTTTAGAAAAAAAATGTTGAAGTTAAAGAATATTTTCAACTAAGTTAAAATAAGTGATTATTTTAGCTCACATTTGTTAGCAATGAAAAGAAATGTGATTTTGATGAGAAAAATTTAAAGAAACATGATAGTGTTGAAACATAATATTTTTGCTAAATGATATTTTTAATTTATATATCTATATTGGTATATTTTCAAATCTCTAAGCTTACCAGTAAAAAAAGGTAAACCTCTCAAGAACATTAATATATTGTGGGGTTGCGTGTTGGCAATTCTTCTCAAAATCTGCTGAATTTATCTTTCTAGCAATCTACCTATCTATCTATCTATCTACCTATCTACCTATCTATCTATCTATCTATCTATCTATCTATCTATCTATCTATCTATCTATCTATCTATCTATCTATCTATCTATCTATCTATCTACCTACCTATCTATCTAACTATCTATCTATCTATCTATCTATTTATCTATCTAACAGTCTATCTATATTTTTATCTATGTTTTCTCTCTAACTATCTATCCCTTAATCTATCTATCTTTCAAGAAGTTCAGTTTAAACGCTTTTTAAAAGTTACAGGTCGTCTTTAACGTATCATCCTTTTGAATCGAATCGAATAATTCCATTCCAATTGATTCGAAGAAAAAATACAAAAACATGTAGATATCTATCTGCACTCTCCCAATAATATGTGGATACATCTTAAATGTCGGAACCTTTACAATCTGCTACTACAGTCTACATATTATAGGAGGGAGGGATGAATGTATGTAGACAAATTTGATATCGACAGATCACTAATATAAGAAGAAGGATTCCGGAACATATTCTTGTCCACACAACATTATAGTTTCAGTAGAAGTAAACATTTCCATTTACTGATAGCACCGATTGAAGGATTTAACTCTGATTGGATAATGAGATAAATAGAAAGATAGATGTTACCGCCATACTATTTCTATTGGCTCAGAATAGACACCAAACACATGACTGAACCCTGATTGGATCAGGTGATAAACCAACCTGAGATAGGAAACATATTAACGTCATACGTGAAATCCAAGGTTGTATAGGAAGGTTGGTTACTCTGGATTCGCTCCAATGTACGGAAAATATCGTCTCTTAAGATAGATATAAAAAAACATCACATGACCTCACTCTCGCCTCTATAGTGACGTTATATGAGGTTTTTATCTATCTATCATGGGAGACGACTTTTTCGGTACATTGAAGCGCATCGGGAGCAACCAACCTTGTTGACATCTGGTAAATTCTTCAATATTGAGATGTACAGCTTCAAAATAAGGTTAAAAACAAAGTCAGATAGATACGCAAACTTATAAAATAATAATAAATTGATAAAGTAATTTTATTCAAAAATCAATGCAAAAAAAGGTGTTCAAGTGTCGCTTAAGAAGATTTAATAAATTTTACACCAATCAAATATAAATAAACGTTGCATAATTCATATATTTTGAAGATTTATTTTTTATCATCATCAAATTCATTGACATTTATCACAAAATGATTTTTTCAGCAATTAAAAAAAAATAACATAAGCAAGAGGCGGGCAGCCATCAGAATACAAAAGAAATACGGGACAATTTGAATATTGCACGATGTAAGGTGCAAATTGTATTAGCATGCGTTGATTGAATAAGATGGAAAACATTGGTAAACTGTTAAATATGTTTACAGCTTCACATTGATGGAATGTATTTTATTTTATTGAAAACTGATATGTCTTAACCATACAATTTCAGTTTCCTTGCCAATACTGCGGTATACATATATATATACAGAAATATATTTAGATACTTATATACATGGATACAGAGTCTTTAGATATATCCAGATGCTTTGATGCATGGATATATAGATATATTTAGATAAAGACATACATAGATATATTTAGATACAGAGATACGTTCATAAACATAAATACATAGATACATACCATATATATATATGTATAAATACAAAATATACATTATCCATACATAAAAGAGATTACCTTATTAGAACAAAAAAGTTTTGTTGTTATATGTTTACAAATTAGTTTGGGGTATCGTAAGAAGCAATATTATCGAAATTGACCGAAGTTTGTTCGGCTCATTTTGTTGCTTACTTCTTATTGGTTAAAGAAAACAACAAGTTAACAACTAATTAAAAGAACAAATCAAATTACATTTTTTAAAATGTGAAAACAAAAAAGCATACCAAAAACAACGACTTATACATCTTTGTCCGATCTTATTTGTGGAAACTATAATAGTTTAAATAAAAGTATTTTTTGTTCAGATTAGATCCAGCAGATAAAGTTATATATTGGGCTAACAGAACATACTGTCAAACCGGTTTCCAGGTAAACAAAAACAAGTTTTATATAAACAATAGATAAGTTATAAACAAGCAATAATTTACAAATAATAAGTTGTCAATTAACATACTCTTTTTTAATTCACTTAGCTGCTTGTAAAAGCTTGAAAAACAAGCAGAGCAGATTTTATGTAAACAATGAAACCGTTGTTATACAATGAATCGAAATAAAATCGTAGTAAAACAATTTACAAATAAGGTAAAACATATCTATGTAAAAAAAAGATTGGTTGCCAATTTTATCGGTGAATTAAACTGAGGCATTTGTGAATTCGATTCCTCGGTGAAATAAACTGATTCAATGCTGAAATAAATTGATTAATTGGTGAATTAAACTGATTTATTGGTGAATTGTACTGATTCATTGGTAATTAAACTGATTCATTGTTGAATATGATTCCGCGGTGAAATAAACTGAGCCATTGGTAAATTAAACTCATATATTCATTGGTGAATTCGATTCCTCGGTGAATTAAACTGTTTCATTGGTGAATTATACTGATTTGTTGGTGAATCAAACTGATTTATTGGTGAATTAGATTTAGCTATCAACGAGAATGGTAGCCGGCGAAACACAGATTTCAGAGACAAAAGTTCCTGGCCTAATTAACTGGTTTCTGCAAGTAAAATAAACTGGTTCTTACACGTAAAATAAACTGGTTCTTACGCGTAAAATAAACTGGTTCTTAAAAGTAAAATAAACTTGTTCTTAAAAGTAAAATAAACTGGTTCTTAAAAGTAAAATAAACTGGTTCTTACAAGTAAAATAAACTGGTTCCTGCAAGTAAAATAAACTGGTTCCTGCAAGTAAAATAAACTGGTTCCTACAAGTAAAATAAACTGGTTCCTGCAAGTAAAAGGAACTAATTCCTGCAAGAAAAATAAACTTTTTGTATGCGTATTTTTTTGTAACCTCAAACCTGTACCCATATTTCAGCTCCGATACAATTGAAAACCAAGCTTTGATTAAAACTTAAAAACCTGTTTACATTGTACCAAAGAAACCTGTTCTATGTGTAAACATAACTTTGTTTACTGAGCAAACAATAATAAATGAGAGAGTATACAACACCAAGGAATGTTTAGAATGTAATTTTTCTTCTGATATCTTCTTCATTTCATTAATAATACTTTATCAGACTGCTGCAGAGTTAATTTTACCATATCTCTGGTTTGCAGACTGCAGTGTTAGATGAGGATATATCTATTAAGATGAGGATTTGTCTATTACGATAAGAATTTATATATTAAGATGAGGATTTATCTATTAAGTTAAGGATTTATCAATTAAGATGAGGATTTATCTATTTAGATGAGGTTTTATCTATTAAAATGAGGAATTATCTATAAAAATAAGGATTTATCTATTAAGATAAGGATTTATCTAGTAAGATCAGGATTTATCTATAAAGATAAGGATTTCTCTATTAAGATAAGGATTTATCTATTAAGATGAGGATTTATCTATTAAGATAAGGATTTATCTATTAAGATCAGGATTTATCTATAAAGATAAGGATTTATCTATTAAGATAAGGATTTATCTATTAAGATGAGGATTTGTCTATTAAGATAAGGATTTATCTATTAAGCTAAGGATTTATCTATTAAAATGAGGATTTATCTATTAAGTTAAGGATTTATCAATTAAGATAAGGATTTATCTATTGAGATGAGGATTTATCTATTCAGATGAGGTTTTATCTATAAAAATGAGGAATTATCTATTAAAATGAGGAATTATCTATTAAAATGAGGAATTATCTATTAAAATGAGGAATTATCTATTGAAATGAGGATTAATCTATTCAGATGAGGATTTATCTATTAAAATAGAGGAATTATCCATTAAAATGAGGATTTATTTATTCAGATGAGGGTTTATCAATTAAGATAGAGGAATTATCTATAAAAATGAGGAATTATCTATTAAAATGAGGAATTATCTATTAAACTGAGGAATTATCTATTAAAATGAGGAATTATCTATTAAAATGAGGAATTATCTATTGAAATGAGGATTTATCTATTCAGATGAGGATTAATCTATTAAAATAGAGGAATTATCCATTAAAATGAGGATTTATTTATTCAGATGAGGGTTTATCAATTAAGATAGAGGAAATATCTATTAAAATAAGGATTTATCTATTGAAAGGTTGGTTCAGCTCAGATTTAAATGTACATAGAGTTTGATTGTTCTTCTCATGAGAGCTCTTCAATAAAAGAAGTTAGAATTGAAAATATAAAACATTTTAGTCTTTTAGTTTGAAGTGATTCATGATATACTCAAGTAAAAACAATCATAATAAACTCGAGTAAATACAATCATAATAAACTCGTGTAAAAACAATCATAATAAACTCGTGTAAAAACAATCATAATAAACTTGATTAAAAACTATCATAATAAACTTGAGTAAAAATAATCATTATAAACTCGAGAAAAAACAATCGAAATAAACTCGAGAAAAAAACAATCATAATAAACTTGATTAAAAACAATCATAATAAACTCGATTAAAAACAATCATAATAAACTCGATTAAAAACATTCATAATAAACTCGAGTAAAACAATAATGATAAACTGGAGTAAAAACAATCATATTAACTCGAGAAAAAGCAATCATAATAAACTTGAGTAAAAACAATCGTAATAAACTCTATATAATAAGGCTTGGTGTAGGACTCTACTACTACTGCAAGTTCAAGAAAAAAAACTTGGCTTTTCTCTGATTTTGGCACACAGATTCTTTATAAAAAAATAATTGTGAATTACTATTTACTCATCTACTCTTATCACTTATTGTAAAAAGTACATGCACTTTGTGAAAAGTCATATGAATATACATGTACATGTACACTGTACATAAATATTCTGGCGTACATGTACATTGAACATCTCACTATAGACTTATACCTAATATATAATATTAACAGCTATCGCAGGAATGATTAGTTTCAATTGTGATTTCTCCAAAAAACTGAGCAAACCCGAGTTTTTCAGGCTACTCTGGGATATCGTCGTTTTCAGATTGGTTGTGTTGTAATAAATATCGTGTAACATGATATCTGCAAACCTAAACTACCTTGTACATTACTACATTATCTACGTTTGTAAACTTCTAAGTAATATCAATTTTTCATTTGAATTGTGCTTCAAATGAATATATAGCATGATTAGCTTAATTATGTCATATATAATGACGTGCATCTCAATTGAGTCTATATTAACTGTGCTGTAAATATGTAACATGATTGTCTTAATCATGTGATATAGATAACGACATAGGAATTGTAATTAGGTCTATGGACTTTATCATATAAACCTCAAATACATCAGTTGATATAGAGAGAAGAAGAAGGATTGCGGATTAGTACTGATAGTTAAGTGAAACTAAATTGAATTAAAATCAGCTTCTGTATCAAAATAAAAATAACTTTTGTTCAGGTTGATCTTGTGAGAAGAAGAACTCCTGTTCTACTCCAGGTTTACCCATTTTCTTAGGCGGGGAGGGGGAAAAGAGGGGAAAAAAGGAGAAGGAAGGAGAAGGAAGGAGAAGGAAGGAGAAGGAAGGAGAAGGAAGGAGAAGGAAGGAGAAGGAAGGAGAAGGAAGGAGAAGGAAGAGGGGAAACCATTTATTTATATCTTTAAGTAAAGTGTGCAGAGAGAGGGGGGGCAGATTTATTCTCCGAATTATCTAAGTTTATTGTATTGTTCAGATAAAAGAAAGTTTCACTTCATTAACAAAATACAAATTTACTGTTCTGTTTCCAGAAGCTTATTGTCTACCATCATTTCTTCTTTATTAGCTCACTTCTTGTTGTTACTTGCTAAAAGTCGGTAATTAAAAAGAAAAAAATGATATTGCTTAGGAAGTGAAATAAATAATTTATTTGGGAAAATCCTTGAAAAATAATTCGTTTGTTTTAGTTTAAACCTGAGATCGGAGCTTTTGTACATATGGAGTTAATCAATAGTTAATCTTGAACGCTTAATCTCGATATCCATTTATTGGTACTTTTAAATACTTCAGTTAAAATTATTGATCCATGACCACAACGGGATATCGATGATCTACTTAAGATGGAGATCAATTCATGAACCTGAGATTATCAATACAAAACTCTTGACTTCAATTTCAAGCAGAGATGTAAACCATTATCTAGAGGATCTATACAAATATTCAGTTTTGCCACAAAATCTAATTTTTAACCATTTTTTCACACCTGTCACTCCTGTATGCCGAGTCCATTAGCGCCTGATCCAATCAGGGTTCAGTCATGTGTTAGTTGTCCTCTGAACCAATAAATAGTATGGCGATAACAATCTATCTTTCTATCTATCTCATTATCCAATTAGAGGTATTAATCCTTTAATCGGCGCTATCAGTAAATGGAAATATTTACTGAAACTATAGAGTTATCTTTACAACCCAATGTCTAAACCATTTAACATTTCAAACTATAAAGTCTGTTTGATCAAAAAGTCTAAAGAATCATCAGGTTGCGAATATATGGATGAGACAATTTTAGTTCGTGACAAAAACTCAATTCCTTTTTTTCAAAAATTAGCATTTCCCATTTTTAATAAATATGTGGTGAAGTTCTTTCTTCTCGGCTTGGATTTAAAAATGAAAGATAAATTTGCTGATTTGGAATTCATCTCCAACCTGCATATATTTTATCGATTAAGATATTCAAACTTGCGGAATTCTCAGAATTAAAAATTTTGCAAATGATAAAACTTGAAGATATAATAAATAACATTTTTACAGCTTACTTACAAAAAATAAATAATATTTCTGTATATTATATGAATATGGGTGTAAGTGTGTGTTTACACACTGATGGTGTGAAACCTAATAATTAATATAGAAGCTTACCTTATCATAACAAACAAACTTCATCTTGTACAAATATTTACTTAGAATATATTAATTTACATAATTGTTTGTTTATGTTTGGACCAGGTCTATAATTACCATTGGCAGATTTAAGATACATGTTTACCAATTCAAATAACAAAATGTTTATTTTGTAACATTAGGAACAAAAAGGGGGTATCATCGACATTTTGATGAAAATCAACCATTAGCGATTCACAACATTTAATTTTATTGTTTCTTTAAGAAATATTCTGACAGATTATAATAAGTAATAATAATTAGAATTCAGCGAGAAAGTTTAACGGTATTGTAAAAAAATTATAAATATATAAATACTTCGCTGTTAGGACCCGCATTTTCTTTTAAATATTCACAAATTTGTTTGATAAACCTTGTAACTTTTCTGTATTAGTAAATGTCGAAATGTCATACGAGTTTCAACAAAAAATTTGGGCCAGATCAGTTTAGCCGTTTTGAGGTTTATTGGACACATAAACACAGACAGGCAAGCGAAATTTATATATATATATATATATCCCAAGAAAAGAAGCCCGATTGATTCAATTGTTTTGACGTTTTTGGGCACAAACAGACAAACAAGTGTTTTCATCATTTTAAGAAAAACTAATTTTTTTTTCTTTTTTTCCCCCAGCTTAGAAAACTTTCAACGTTGTTTCCAATAAACACAATTTTGAGAGAGAAGAAGGAGAAATTTACAAGGTTTCAGTTCTTTAAGAAAATTTTTACACGAAATTTGTCTTTATTGATATGGATAAACGAAAATACTGAATATATGTAACTGGTAATAATAATAATAATAATAATAATAATAAAATGCATTCTGTGTAACTTTATTCTACAAAGGAATTTAGTCTTTGTCATAAACTCAGATTTTCTAATCCCTATCTTTGCCACACAATGTCGTAGATTTTAGATATTTAAAATTTTGAATTTTGTTGGATCAAATAATCTGAGTTTGAAATACCAAAGATTTACACCGTCAGATTGCAAAGATTAGGGAATTAGAAAATTTTGTTTGAGGGTAAGACTCAGTTTCTTTATAAATATAAATTTTCTTTTTCTGTGGATTTATCTAATTCAATTTGTTTACGAAAGGTGAATCTGCTTTCTTCGATCCTCCATAATAAAGCAATATTACAAAAAAATGTTGCACACTTTTCTGCTTTTATCAGTGAATTTCTTAAGTTTAGCACCGTCTGCATTTTGTTAAAGAATTAGGAGAGAAAATTTTTAATCCTGCCGGGGCGGAGTTATGTGAGGTTCCAGAGAAATTTTTACCAAAATTGTTTCGATGTTTTTTTTGTGATGCAAATCTAGACAAGGTTATAACAACAAAATAGGGTGAATATCTATAACCATCTGGTATATTTGTGGTAGTAAGCTGGATATATGTATAGTATATATTATAAGTTTATATATATATATTTAGGTGTATCTACCCTCTGGTATGTTTGTGGTGGTAAGCTGGATATCCTTTATAGTTCCTCCTGAAGTTGTCCCAGGTTAGTTTATATTAAGATAAGGGTGCTCTCCAACACTTTGCCATAATAACACTAATTTATTAAATTCAGAACGCCAAAGAACAATGTGTCTTCTTTAAACGCTCACATTTTTTGCCCCCAACTCCCTTTATATTTATCTTGGAAAGAAAAAAATTATTTGAGAGAAAATAAAATAAATTAACACTGGACTAGAGATCTGAGTTTACGTCATTATTGAAATCTTTTCTAACTTTCTTCAAGTTAAAGCTAAATAAATAGAATTGTAAACTATTGGATTTAACTATTTTCCAACAGGGAATATATATATATTTATATATATATTTTATTAAAAATATATACATTAATGTATATATTTTTAATAAAATATTGCTGGTTTATTGCATTAATAAAATACTTAAAAATCATACAGTAGGTGCAAAACTAATGAGGCATAGAAATTTGCAATAAAAATTAAGGTTTCAAAGATAAAGTTACTCAAAACTGTTTATTGATCTTAAAATCATAAAATCAATCTCCTCTCTTAGCAAAGTTCATAAAAAAAGTAAAGGGACCTTTGTAAATTAATTACACGTGAAATATTTGAAATGTTTTTGTAAAATTATATTTTTGAGAATCCATATAGGATTCTTCACGAAAAAAATCCACGTCTATTACAAAGGCTTCTTTGTTTTATAGTAGATGTTCCTAAAAGTATAAAAAATTTTCTAAAAAAAAAATATTTCGATTTCAATATAATGTTTGGGATTATAGTGCCGGTTCTAGGGGTGGGGTCAATATGTAATTATTCATAAATAAAGCTACTTCAAAATTTTAAAAGGATGTATACTGTATTATATATTTGTAAACTTTTGTTGTATATAAAGATATATAATATTTATCTATTTCAGGACTAATGGCTCTACTGGAAACCCTATTCCTTGTCCTGTTATATATATAAAGATATATAATATTTATCTATTTCAGGACGAATGGCTCTACTGGTAACCCTATTCCTTGTCCTGTTATATATATAAAGATATATAATATTTATCTATTTCAGGACGAATGGCTCTACTGGTAACTCTATTCCTTGTCCTGTTGTATATAAAGATATATAATATTTATCTATTTCAGGACTAATGGCTCTACTGGTAACTCTATTCCTTGTCCTGTTGTATATAAAGATATATAATATTTATCTATTTCAGGACGAATGGCTCTACTGGTAACTCTATTCCTTGTCCTGGTGAATATATTCAACTCTGTTACTGCTAACGCTCCGAAGGTGAGAAAATTTAACATGCATTAAGAATTGTAGAAAAATCTTTTCATTGCCTTGTCAACTATAATTATATTTTCAATTTAGATTTTCTTTGTTATTACTTTATACAGAACATATTTCAGCACGGAAGTGTATGATTTATTAACTAAAGATTGAAACACTTTTAGCTCGTAAAAACTTAAATTCAACACAATTAGTGCTTTTTTCCTTGAACTCTCGTGTGCTTTTGGTAAATTGTAACCTTTTTATTTTGAAGATTTCAACACTTGAAATAGTTATTACGTACTATTTAAACCAACAAGGAGTATTAGGAAAAATCCAGATCATGTTTCTATTCCCACCTAGGTTGTCAATATACAAAGCGTCCCACATAGTTTAGTATCTCCAAGCTTAAACGTCGAAATAATGCTCTGATGGTCTAACAGAATGCATAGCTCTTAGCTTTAAGGCATTGGGTTGCAAAGTTATAGGGATTAGAATATTAGAGTTTGTGGCAAAGACTTAATTCATTTGTAAAATCCTTCAGTCAAATTTCATAATTCTGCCGGAAATCGCAACTTTGAGCCTTTTACGATCAATCATGATAAGGGACACCCTGCAGTAAGATTACAACAAATTAACAAAGCGCATATACCGAAGTTCTGTAAAGTTGCAAACAGAAATTGTGCCCTGTACACAAGGAAAAACAAATAAAATCTGAAACACAAATTGATTAAAAGATTGGAACATCTTATTTTGCTCCATAAATGCTGGGAACAATATAATTATTCTACTCTTAATGAGAACTAAATATCTCGACTGGATAAAAACTGTAATCAGACAAGGAACTAAGAAAGTTATTTAAACAAAAAATATAAATTAAACGATAGAAAAGGATTTCGGACTGGAAACGTTCCATCTGAGTTATTTTTTTTTGGGGGGGGGATTGGAGGTATGTCCCTATTCCTGAAAATCGGGGGAAAGCCCCCCCCCCCTGGATATATGTGGTGGAACTGGAAAATAGCAGGGATTTGATTCGATTTTAACGTGTAGTTTTAAAAGTGTTTTGTATTATTTTGAATTCATGAATATGACAAAAATAATAAGTAAACCTTTCTCATCTTCCTTAGAGAAAAATCATAAACAATATTTTTCTGTTTGTCAATTGAATATTGTATATCTTGACTGAATTACGTGTATAATATAGTTCTGTTGAATGGGAAGACGACATTTACAAAATGTTCTGGATTTTATAAAATATATGTTGTTAAAAAGATGATTAGTTTTGACTGTGCTGAAAACTTTAGAATGCAGAATCCCGAACAGCCAATCAGAAGCCGGAAAATTTCCAAATTAAAAGCGTCCATATTGGATATTCAGATCAAGCAAGGGTATTAAGGGTATCCAATTCTGAAGTTCTCAGTTCAGTAGCTAGGAATTCAACTGCACTCGAATAATTACTGTTTTTTATGTTAATATAGACGATTTTAAATCATAATTTGTGTCTATGATTTAGATGTCTATTTTTTTTTTTGGGGGGGGGGTTTACTGTACATAGACGTAGAGAATATTAAAGTTGGGCGTATTTAGGCAGAAGGGTCTGACAGCTGTACTGTACTGTACTGTACATACAGGTACAGAATATTAAAATTGGGCGCATTTTGACGGGGGGTCTGACTGCTGTACTGTACTGTACTGTACATACAGGTACAGAATATTAAAATTGTGCGTATTTAGGCGGAGGGCCTGACAGCTGTAGAAACTTGGGTAGTTTCCTGTATTATCCACGTGTTTGGAGTTCTAGGAACTATATATATATATATATATATATGCGATCTTCAAATCTGAATAAATATCTGAAATATTTTGAATATATTAAACATGCACAGCATGGATAAGAAAATATTATGAACATTTGTGAAAAGATTGTTTTAAAAATCCCCCCGAGCTCCCATATATATATATATTATAGCTGAGTACGCTCTCATACTCAAAATAATCCAATCTGAGAAGAGGAGAGATGCAAAATCAAGAAGATCTTTTCTCAAGGAATCTACAAATCAATCAATCAATCAATTAACCATTCACTCAATCAATTAATATATTCGTTAATTATTCAATTAACCAATAATTCAATTAAATAACTAGTTGATTAACGTCAATCCTTTAAATCAGTTCCATTTAATTTGCTATAAAAGTAATAAAACCAGTCGGAACTAGTCCAGCTACACCTCTCTGTTCCTAAATTCAAAATTATGTATGGTTGTGCATAATAAACTTAAAATCATAATAATTTTGAAAAATAATTTAAAACACAACTGACAAAATAGTCTACAACAAAAATTAGAGAATTCAGCAAGAAAACTCTCAAAAAGTATTTTACATAAATATTAGGTGAATTTTTTTTGTTGATCTTTATATCATGTCTCATGCAAAGAAAAGAAAGGAGTTGTGTATATTTATTTGATATAAAATCATAAAAAAATACATTTGGTAGTTTTGCCCTGACCGCGAAATTTGTTGTTACGCTTGTTAATGCTGAATTTTAGGGTTAATAACTTAGAGATGGAAGGGTTTATAATTGAAAATATTCACCTCTGCTCTGTAATTAATGATTTGATTGTTGAGTATTTTTAGGCTCTCAGTAGTTTAAACAGTTCTAACTCCAGCCACCAAACTGAGAAATCAAATGGAAAAACAATCCGGAGAGATTTAGGAAACCATAATATTAAATAATGTTGAATAGATTCGGATCTGACAGGGATCCATGAATACGACTATAGTTGTTAGTTTTAATATTCAGTTAATGATATAATTCTAGCAATGTCACTTCTATTCTATTCCACTAGGTTTCTACAGTTCCAGGGTATTTCTAATAATTATCTTAATTTTACCTTTTTTGCTGATCTTGCGAGAACTTTTTTTTGGATATCCATAACAGTAACATTTTAGTATTTTTTCCGGAAATTATTTTTTTTGCTTAGAATTATAAATCCTGACCTGACCTAGCTATGGACACCTTAGAAAAAACTTTGGGAATTACCAGATTTTTTGGGTTTTGATTTTGACGTTTATAAGGGTACCATACATGGTGTATGAAATTTGCTCCGTCAAATAACACCGATTTTTGAATAAAAATGTGTTTGCTCCATGGTATTTATTAATCTTTTGGCTTCTTGCTGAAGAGGCTAGCTTTGCCCAAAAAATTATATTTTTCCATAAAATTTAAAAAATTTAAACCAAATTGAGAAAATTCCTGTAGTTCTACCGAGTTCGTCAATCAAAATCAGAGACAAATCAGTAAAAGGGGTTTATGAGTTATGATCGGAAATACAAACAGACACCCAAACAAATATTAATACTGTATATATATAGAACTAGCTGGAGGGCCCGCCATTGCCCGTGGAAAAAAATAAAAAATTTGAAAAAAAAATTTGAATTTTTAAAATAAATATTTACTTTATTCTATAAGATGAATGAAACGCATGGAAATACTAAATATTTCCTCGGGCCCATCGGATATTACGGCCAAAGAAGCACTGAATCTAAATTAGGGAAACTTTAAGTAAGCTCACTAATCATAAAAAAATTCTTGAGTCTATTTTTGTTTATGTTGTGTTTTTACAGTTTTGACGGAAAAGGAAAAAATAATTTATAAAAATTTATGCTTTGAGTGACCTATTAATGCTGTATTCTTGACTTCATAAAAATTCAGTACATTTTAGCTTTTGAAAATATCAAGCTATTAAACCTCTTAACATTTCTGTTGGTTTCCATCATTCAAAGCAAACAACGAAGTCAAAATCGCAATGCCGGGGTAGTGTGGGCTACCCAAGAGTGTCCACACCAAATTTCAGCCCATTCGGTCCAGCCGTTTGTCCGTCTATGGTGACATATATAGGAATGTCTAGTTTTATTATATAGATTAGTGACAGACAAACTAAAAAAACAACCAAGGCAAATAATATGTAAATATGGAAAGATATTCAGATTTAGAAGTTAATCAAGTCAAATTATGAATAATGATGCGTAAAATTTTCAATCATCTGAGATTTCTTGAACGAGAGAACATTGACTTAAACAACTTTTGTGCACTGAAAAAGAAAAAAATACGAAACATCTTTATCTCATAAAATAATTTGAATGACTTTTATCGTCTTTGCTTTAGAATTCCACGTGTCGCTTTTTATATAATTATTTTTATTATAAATATAAGATCTCTTAAATTACAGTCAAAATTGATTTCATAGAATGTGCATTATTGGTATAATCATTAGAGATAATCAACTTTTAACGTTTTGTTCTTTAAAGTTAAAAGTTGAAGAACGATTTGATAAGATCATTTCATGTTTAAGTAGAATAAACAAGTTTCTCAAATTTACTATTTATATAAAAAAATAATTGACCAATAAACAAAGGGATTTTTTATATTTGTTAACAATTTTAGTTTAACTAGACTTGCTAATGCTAACGATTTCTAAAACTTATTTTTTTTGCTTTTATAACGAACCGTGAAAGGTTGAGCTCGATTAATAGATGCGTTTTATAATTCAAGGGTAATTAAGCGTAATTTTAAATGACTTTCAATTTATAAGTGGCATGTCGAATCTATAAGTGGCATGTCAAATATAAGTGGCATGTCGCATTAATAATTGGCATGTCGAATATAAGTGGCATGTCGAATTTATAATTGGCATGTCGAATTTAAGTGGCTCGTTTTTTAATTTTAAAGGAATTTCAGAAGTCACCACCAAATTTTCTGAATGTTCCAACATTTTAAAACTGAATTTTGTAAAAGTCTGCTTTGCTTTAACTTAGAAAAACTTTAAACTAAGAATAAAGATAAGAAAAAAAAACATTTTTTTTTTGCATTTGGGGTAAAATTTTTCTTAATGTATATCAGGTAAGTAAATGTTTAAAATAAATATTAAGATTTCTAAAACTTCTCATAATTTTGATGAAAAGTCCCAAAACCTTAAAAGTTTCTTAAAAAAGGGCAATCATTAATCACAACAGTACCACCCTTTAAACTTAGAACTCTTTATACACATAGTGTACACTAGCATACGCTGTGATCTCATATACATATTTCCGGTTCTAGAATTTAAAAAAATCACAAAACTTCATATATTAGAAATTTTTAGAAATGGGAATGCAAATTTAATTTTCTTTGTCTCCCGGAAACTAGAAAATAATATTTTCAAAATATGAAACTTCTTGCAAACATTGTTATTGACAATTACAAGCGTTTCTAAGGATAAAATACTTAAGCACTGAACCATCCTCGATCAAACTAAAGCTTAACCCTAAAAAGGGATCTGAATCTATGTACAGACTGGCCTTGAGGTTGAAATGCATGTTCAAAGCCCAATTTTTCATGAACAGCTCATTAAAAAAATAGATCGATAGCTTTAATAGTTTGGGCGCTAGGGAGGGTTGAAAAAAATGGCACAAAAGGTTAAAAAAATGTAAAAAATAATTTTTTGTTTAAAACAAATATCAAAGTGGGACACATGTTTCTACATTCATTTTTTAAGGGATTTTCAAAAATATAGTTTTTAGATCTGTAACTTTAGTCATAGAAAAGTTATGCATAAAAAAAATTTACAAAAAATACTTTAAATTTATATTTATTCAAAGTAAAAACTTTCACGGTGATAGTGTCAAAAATGAGAGTGCTAGGGTAAAACAACTAGAGGGGAAGGGGGTACAAAACGCCCCCCCCCCCCCCGCCTGTTTAGGGTTAAAGCAAGGGTCGGAATATTTAAAGTTTTGTCCTTCTGACTCTTAAACTCGCCTGTTTGTTAAAATTGAGGCCGGCGCGACCCATGTTTTTTATTTTTATATAAAGATGAATTATCGACCTCCCTAATAATCTATGGTCTTTAAATGTTTTCTGCAGGTTTAAATAAACAATTTTCAATGTGTTTTTTGTTATCATTAAAAATTATAATTTAATAATTTTCATGTTCATTGCATGTATAGTCATTATTTTCCAATTAATGTTTAACCTTTTTTAACTGATTAATCATTTCAAATTTTCTATTGCGCTGTTACAATCTTTTTACTTCATTTAATTATATTTTGATTTTCCCTCCGGTCTGATATTAATAATTTATTTTTTGCTTTCTATTTAAACTGCAAAAAAAGAAATATATCCTTTTAGTTAAATTATTTCGTTGTGCATTTGAGCAAACAAGTTTGATATTATAAATTTTAAAATGTTTCTACTTGAAAACTAATATGGACATCTGAAGGGACTGAAACTCGACATAAACCAGTAAATCTGTGTTCAGATTAATCTTAAAGAGAACATTAATAAAATGAACGTAAAGGCCGTTCTTTATTTTTTTCAATTTGACCCGGAACTGTGCCTTTTTTGTTCTAAACGAAATCTTGTATTTTTATCAAAAATATTTTTTGTAACATCTCAGACTTTTAATGGCCCTCTTAAAATTTCAAAAACTGAAACTTTTTAAAGTTAAGTACATAATAATAATGAGTACATAATAATAATGAGTACATAATAATAATAAGTACATAATAAGCCATATGTTTAAAATATTGTGGTTTAAAGTAGGAGGAGGAGGTATGAGCACAAATATTGAAGAAATATTTGAAACAGACCAGCAGTACACCAACCAGCAGTACGCTGACCAGCAGTACACCAACCAGCAGTACGTAGACCAGCAGCACGCAGATAATGTTTTAGCTGAAAAGAAGCACACAGAGTTAGAAAGACAATGGAAAGTACAGCAAAGAGAAAGGTAAAATCATATTCATTAAAGATAAAAAATCCTGACATTAGGATAACATGGAAAGGTTACAAGATATGATAGCATGGTACAATAACTTAGAAATGTAAAAAGATATAAATGCATAGAAGGGTAACAAGATAGGGTAGATAGATAACAAGACAATTAAAGTGTAGCATAGAAAGGTAGCACGATAAAGTAGTGGGGAACAGTAACAAAATAGGGTAACATAGACTTATAAGGCGTTAGAAGAACATAGGAATGTAGCAAGATAAGAGCGCATTATAGGAAGGTAGCATGATATGAAGAGCATAGGAATGTAGCAGGATATGAGAGCATAGGCATGTAGCAAGAAAGGAGAGCATAGGCATGTAGCAAGATAGGAGAGCATAGACATGTAGCAAGATAGGAGAGCAAAGACATGTAGCAAGATAGGAGAGCATAGACATGTAGCAAGATAGGAGAGCATATGCATGTAGCAAGATAGGAGAGCATAGGAAAGTTTCAATATAGGAGAGCATAGACATGTAAAAAGATAGGAGAGCATAGGCATGTAGCAAGATAGGAGAGCCTAGACATGTAGCAAGATAGGAGAGCATAGGCATGTAGCAAGATAGAAGAGCATAGACATGTAGCAAGATAGGAGAGCATAGGAAGGTAACAAGACAGAATAGCATAGAAAGATAGCAAGATAGGGTAGAAAATACAAAGGTAACAATTGATGGGGTAACTTAAAAAGGTAACAAGATAGAAGAGCATAGGAGGATAACATAACTGTATAGCATAGAAAGGTAACAAGATAGAAGAACATAGGAGGATAACATAACTGTATAGCATAGGCAGGTAACAAGATAATAAGAACATAGGAGGATAACATAACTGTATAGCATAGGCAGGTAACAAGATAACAAGAACAATATGTTAAATAACTGATCACTTGCCTCAAATCATATTTCTCTAATCATTAAATCTTTGAGACTTGATTTCGTAGATCAGAAGAGCGTAGACAAGTAACAAGATTGGGTAACATATAAACAAAAAGTTGTTAATTGACAGCTTCTCTATGTTTATGTGTATTTTGAAAGCTTTGTAGAAACTAAAATTTAAATCGAAAGTCGTCTTCATTGGATTAATATATAGCAAGCTGGAAGAGCATCTAGGAAGGTAGGAAGATAACTAGATGAAAGTGTTAAGGAACTCAAACTGTATTTATATATGTAGATAGACCTTTGACTATTTCAAACTAAGAATTCTCCTGGATCTCATTGTGACATTTTGATTTGATTTGATTTGAAATTTATAGTTATAATTTTAAAGTAAAAAGATTCCTTACATCAGACATTTGATGAGTGCTGTTGAAGGAGCTCATTTTTGGAGAGGGGGGGAGGGTAATGGGAAATTTGCGACAATAAATAATGCTGTGTGATTCATAATATTTATACACAAGTTTTAGGATTAATAAACATTGTTTACTACAGTCTTTTCTCTGTGTTTTATCAATATTAACAGAATGTAGAAAATTGACACTTAACAATCTTCCCATAAATTTACTTATATTGGAGAATAAATAAGTATATGCATTTTTTCCTGGATAGAATATTATAAACATATATATCACTACTGACCAGTGACTAGGCGTTCATGTGCGCAACGCAATCGTATCCTTATTTCCAAAATGTTTTTAGTGTTATTGTTGTACAGTACATCTGCTTTTTTGCTTTGTACATTACACTGAACAGAACTAGAGAAAATTGTACAATGCAATACAGGCTACAGACGGCAGAACGGGACAGTCCAGAAAAGAGTACAATGCATACAGGCAACAGATGGCTGAACTGGACGGTACACCAAATGAATCATAATCTTAACTCTCTATGTCATTATGATTATAAATTTAATACAGAATTAATAAAAATTCTTAAAGATTTGCTGTCCCCTTTTAATAAGTAAACCTCTTAGATGTACACAATATAGACTGCACCCCAGAGCCCAAAATTTGAAAGAGATATGGTTCATTTAAACTCCTGAGTTCCCTTTTCGGAATCTACAACAAAGTTTTTGCCACCACAAACTCTGATTTTCTAATCCCTATATCTGTGCAATCAAATGCGGTCGTAGACCTTGATATATAAAAATATGAAATATGTTTTAATATCGCTAAATTTGAAATATCAAATGTTTACACCATCAGGTTGCAAAGATATATGGAGTAGAAAATTCCTATCCTATTAACGACAGTCGTGCTCATTTTCCACAGTTTTATGGGTCTTATTATATGAGTGTTATTCGTAGTTAAACACAACAATAAAAGTACAAGAGGGATGCAAACCTTACTAAATAGAATTCTTTATATTTACTCGTCTAGAAACTAGATGAGGAGGTGGGGGGGGGGGGGATCAAGGTATGGATGAGGAAATGAGAAAATAAAGTGATAATAAAAGATATTTGGGTTCACTAGCCACCACCATAGTCTCATGTATACAACATTGAATATTATCTTAGCAATAAATAAAACTGAAATAATTGGCTATCAATCATTTATCTTTTCTCTTCCTTTCATCCTTGCATTATTCACCAACCTATTCATTTATTCATTATTCATCCATCTTACTTTCTTTCATCCATCTTACTTTCTTTCATCCATCTTACTTTCTTTCATCCATCTTTCTTTCTTTCATCCATCTTTCTTTCATCCATCTTTCTTTAAGCCATCTTCCTTTCATTCATCTTCATTTAATCCATCTGCCTTTCATCTAACTTCTTTTCATCCATGTTCCATTCATCTATCTTAATCTCATCCACCTTCCTTTCATCCATCTTCCTTTCATACATATTCCGTTCATCCATCTACCTATCTACTTTTCATTTTCATCCCTTTCGTCAATCTTCCTTTCATCCATTTTCCTTTCATCCATCTTCCTTTCATCCATCTTCCTTTCATCCATTTTCCTTTCATCCATATTCCTTTCATCCATCTTCCTTTCATCCATATTCCTTTCATAAATCTTCCTTTCATCCATCTTCTTTTCATTCATCTCCATTTCATCCATCTACCTTTAATTGTTATCCCTTTCGTCAATCTTCCTTTCATCCATCTACCTTTCATCCACCTTATCTTCCTTTCATCCATCTTCTAATATGAACTAATAATAATGAAACAAAATGTTTTAAAGTGTAACCTACTATAATAAAATAGTTCTATTTAAAGTAACAATTAACTACCCTATGTAAAAAGTGATTAACCGTAATAAATTAGTTTCTTTTCTAGTCGATGTGTCCGGGAGAAGATCCAGATGGCGTATGAACGAGTTGACCGGCTAGCAATGTATCTGTTTCCATTCTTCTTCTTCGTTTTTAACATCCTCTACTGGACATATTACCTCATCATCGTTAATATATTCGGCCTCAGCTTGTTCTAGATCTTTTTCTAGAGATATATCAGGATATTCTGTTCTAGATATATATCAGGAGATCTTGTTCTAGAGATATATCTAGAGATCATGTTCAAGAGATATATCAGAAGATCTTGATCTAGAGATGTATCGGGAGATCTTGATCTAGAGATATATCAGGAAATCTTGATCTAGAGATGTATCTAGAGATCTTACTCTAGAGATATATCTAGAGATCTTTCCTCCCTACAGATATATCAGGAGATCTTGATCTAAAGATGTATCAGAGATCATACTCAAGAGAAATATCTAGAGATCATTCTCCAGATATAGAGCTGGAAATTTCATTCAAGATTAAGATATATCAGCAGATCTTAATCTAGAAATGTATCACGAGATCTTGTTCTAGATATACATATCAGTAGATTTTCTCTAGAAATATGTCAGAAGAGGAGATCTTTCTCTAGATATATTTAGGAGATCTTGATATAGGGAAATATGAGAAGATCTTTCTCTAAAGATATATCAGGAAATCTTTCTCTAGATATATATCAGGATATCTTTCCCGAGAGATTTATCAGAAGATTTTTCTCTAGAAATATATTAGGAGATCTTGAATTAGAGATATATCAGGAGATATTGATCTAGAGATATATCAAGAGATCTTTCTCTAGTGATATATTAGGATATCTTGATCTAGAGATATATCTAGAGATCTTTTTCTAGAGATATAGAATAAATATTTTAAAACATATTCATATATATTTCTAGAGATATAGAGATCTTTCTTTAGCGATATATAATAATTATATCTTGAATTTTGAACTTTTCTAGTATGTTTAAGAAATAACTTTCTGGATTGTAGGAAAGGTTTATTTCTAAAAGTTCTGGAATGTCTCACAACATAAGTCATGAATAATGAACACATATATCTTAATACTTCTACCAAAAAAAATATATTTTAAACTGTATGCACTATGTATATTCTATAACTATTTCTAATTTGAAATTCGGTGCTCTATTGTCCAAGAATACAACATTTTTGCAAGCAACTTGATAATCATTTTAGGTAAATCTAAGGAACCCAACAACTCAATATAGATCTACAAAATTTATCTCTGGAAATAAACAAAACTCAGTAAAAGTAAATTTTCTGTATCTTTTTGTTTGATGATGTGAATAATAATACGTAAGGTAATTGAGTTGTTGCCATAAACTCTAATTTTGTAATCTCTATATTTTTGCAACAGCTTTTTCAACAGTAAACCCTGTTAGATTAAGTAGTCAAAGTTTGAAATATCAAAGGTTTACACCATCATGTTGCAAAGATAAAGGCATTCAACAATTTTAGTTTGTGGCAAAAGCTTAGTACCTTTGTTTCACATCATAGACTTTTGTTCTTTAATTTCTATCGAATGGACTTCTGTTGATTTGCTGTTTTCATAAAATGTATACAATGGTAGAAAACAGTAGAAAACGTTTCATATTTTAGACTTGCACGCTTGTTTGTTAAATATTTACAACTGCAGCACAAGGAGCACATGCTTAATGACGCAAACTCTGATCCAAGCTGATTGAAGGAAAATGACACGTTTAAAAATGATTTACTATACTTTTTTTCTGGCGTGGTCTAAGTTAGCTCAAAGCGTAGCAGAAATTATATCAAAGGAATTGAGTCTTTGTCACAAACTATGATTTTCTAATCTCTATATCTTTGTAACCCAATGCCGTAGACCTTAGATATTTCAAAAATGACTTCTATTAGATGAAAAAATCTAAGTTTGAAATTTCAAAGGTTTACACCATCAGGTGGAAAAAATATAGGTATTAGAAAATCAGAGTTTGTTACAAAGACTCAATTCCTTTAGAATGGTTGACGCACCGTACTTTTTTCAATGACCATCCAGGCATGAGAAATGTTGCAAATGTATTTTGTTTAATATTTTGTTGACCTTCTAAACGTGATAATTGTATTTCTCTAAAGGGAACACAATGTACAATAAACCTTTGTGAATAAAAAGTAAAAATCAGATGTAATCTGAAATAGTTATTTTGTGTGAAGTCGGGCCTTCATATACAGGGTTACCCACAAAGGATGAGATGAGATGGTTTCCTTCTATTCACAATTTTATGCAACTGTAAACTTGTTTCTTTCTTTGCCAATTCATTATATAAGCCATTAGATTACTATATCTCAGGCCGAATACTTAATCTAACCTTGGAACCGTCACATTTCAAGATTGTTCGGTCGTCTTTACAATATCATTATTTGCGGGTAACCCTGTAGATAATCCTTGCATTAGCATTAGAAAGCTTGTTGAGGCAGTGTACTGCAATCAGTATTATAACTTGACATGTTAAAGTGCCTTATTCATTTTTTTCACATGACACTCGAATTTACTTTGATAAAAATATATAGTATTGTATCCAAGTTAAATAATGTAAATGACATTATTTTTCCAATTTTATCACACTAAACTAGAAAGAAAGTAATATTTTACGTACGAGTATATTGAAAAAGCAAATTTATTTGTTTATACTTACATTCTTTAAAATTCAAGACATTTTTATTATTATTAAGCTGACGTTTCATTTGCCCAAAAATCACTTTAAAGGGAGTGTTCGCGAAAAATGAAAGGGGGTATAGGCTTAATGCGATAAAAAAGCGCTTTTGATCGCTACTAATCTTTTTTCTATTTGTTGCGTCTATAAGGAGAAAATTGTTAAAAACGACTCACACCGAAGAACGCAGGGTCCAGACAAATTCGGAAAGTTGCAACATTCAACTCGGATCGTAAACAAATCAATTTAATTCCAAACAAATCATTCAGATAATACAAACAGTAGTCATCGATTATATTTCGATGCATTCGTATTTAGTTAATATTTCATAATATTTACGATTTAAAAAAAAAAAAAATTTTCGCTGCCGCTGGATTTTCAAACATTTCTAGAAAATATGAAAATGTCGTTTTCATTATCAAAAATCCACGAGACAGGAATAAATGTTTTTAAAAGTATCTTTCAGATCATGAAAAATACAAAATATTATGAAATATCAACTATTTACGAATGCGTCGAAAAATAATCGATGACTATTGTTTGTAATATCTGAATGATTTGTTTGGAATTAGATTGATTTGTTTACGATCCGAGTTGAATGTTGCATCTTTCTGAATTTCTTATGGACATACGTTCTTCGGTATTATTCGTTTTTAACAATTTTCTCCTTATAGACGCAACAGAAAGAAGTAAGATTAGAAGCGATCAAAAGCGCTTTTTTATCGCATTAAGCCTATACCCCCTTTCATTTTTCACGAACACTCCCTTTAAAGTCTAAGTATGTGGAACATACTAATTTTATGTTTCTTAGTACAGCTATTTAGATAAGTTCAATCTGAATAGTCAGGAACAGGCCCTTTAAATCTGCTTATATCTCGATGCATAAAGAACTGATGAGATCATCTTAGGATGAGATCACCTTGCATAGAGGACAACACATGTGGAGAAGCTAGGAAGCTGATGCCCGAGAGAAAGAGATCACTCCTACCGAAGCCTTTGGCTTGAGAAGACCTATAGTCTGTCGTGCGTCCTGAATTTTATTATCTATATATTTTACTTGCAGATTGATAAAATGATTGGTATGAAAGTTCTGTATCATGAGCTCTTCATCTAAGGTAGAAAAGGCATCTGTGCAAATTAACAAAGAGCTTTGAAATGTTGAAAAACAATGACCGGAAGTATGTTTAAATATAGATTTAATGTGGTAAATGTAAAATAAGGCATTCAGGCAGTATGCCTGAGGAATCAGGCAGTAGGTATAAAAGCCCCGCTTTGAACCTAAAGTTGGGGACATGTGTTAGTTAGATTAATCAAAAAATTGAACAGCCTGAGACTAATACTTTTTGTGTTATTTTTTTACTTGAATCTTTGCTGAGAATTTCTACTTTGTCGGTTGCATTATAGCAGTCACAGCAGACAGTAAAATAAAGATGTCAGGTATAAAGAAGAAAAGATTATTGAATAAAATTTAAAATTTAAATTCTGAAATAATACGACAATTCTCCAAAATTATGAATCGGCCATGTTTAATTTTTTAATATGCCTTAGCTTGGGTGGGAACCCAGCTTTACCTGAAAACTAAGCTTTCGCTAATGAACCAAATCTTCGAATTTATAATTAAATCTTTGACAAATTGTAAAACAGAAATTGATCGATTGAAATTTTGGATAACAAATATGATTTTTGAAGAAATGTGAATATCCTGGAAAATCTATCGTTCCATTCCCACCCCACCTTCCGGTATTTGTAGCTATAGTAAATCTTAACATAAATCACGGTACTTTACTCTGCGCTAAAATGACGTTTGTAAATGTTAAATAAAATTTTCAAAAATTTCAAATAAACTAGGAAATAAATCAGGAGCGTATACAGGGGGGGGGGGCAGTTGTCCTTTTACCCCCCTCCCTCCCTCCCTGGGATTTATAGGCAAAGGTTAAAATCAGGTCTGGTAGGTAAAACATTCAAAGGGAGGGTTGTTTTCCCCCTTAAAAAATAGTTGAACATTTATTTTTAAATTTTACCAAAGTATTTACCTTCTATCTATAATATTATATAATCCTTGAATCGGAACTCCATACCTAGGGGATATAGACTTAATATAGAATAACAGCACTTAAGGCCAGGAGGGGGGCAAAAGTCGCCAAGGGGTGGGGGGATGCCCCCGTGGCTAAAACCCTGGGGTCTGTCCTAGTATACGATTTTTGGACCCCCCCCCTCCTATCAATTTTGTACATGACCATTTATTTTTCAGCAAAGGAATTGAGTTTTTGCCACAACCTCAAATTTTCTAATTTCTATATCTCTGCAACCAGTGGGTATAAACCTTTGATATTTCAAACTGAGACTATTTGATCTAACAGAATTATTAGTTTGAAATATCTAAGGTCTACGACATTGGGTCGCCAAGATATCGGGATAAGAATATTTAAGTTTGTGGCAAAAACTCAATTCCTTTATTATTATCCTAGCTGCGGCTAGGATGGGCTAGGGGGCCGCGCGCTGCGGCCACGGGTGGTTAGGTTAAGTTAAGAAACTTTCTGTCACACCCATGTACAAAATTGATAGGAGGGGGGGGCCTGGGGGGGGTCCAAAAATCGTATACTAGAAAATTACCAAACCCTGTATATGCACCTGAAATAAATCCTATTAAATATGTAACATTTAGAATTAGACAACCTTATCCAATTAAATTAGAGAAAGTTTTCTGAATTAATTCCTCTCGCTCTCTTCTTGCATTATATCTTTAAAGGGAGTGTTCGCGAAAAATGAAAGGGGGTATATGCAATTATGTTGAAAAATTATCGATGTTGATCACTACTAATCTTACTTCTATCTGTTGCGTCCGTATAAGGAGAATTGTTAAAAACGACTCGTACCGAAGAACGTAGCCTCCATACATATTCTGAAAGTTGCAACATTCGACTAGGATCGCTAAAAATCTATTTAATTCCAGACAAATCATTCAGATATTACAACCTATAATCATTGATAATTATTCGAGGCACTCATATAAAGTTAATATTTCATAACTATTTTTTATTTGTTTTATATACAATTGTGAGCCGATCAAAAGGAATATTGCTCGAAGCGGGATGAACTGAAGCAGAGGATATGTAACTCGAAGAATGACAAATCCAAAGGAGTTTAGGAAACTCTAGGTTTTGTAGGTTTAGGAAACTCTAGGTTTTGTAGGTTTAGGAAACTCTAGGTTTAGCAGGTTTGTGGGTCATATTTTATTAATATTGTCAATCGATAAATAAAAGTTTTTAAGGGTACTGTTGTGAATTGGCCAATAAAAGGCTTAAGATATTGTTGTGAATTAAGTATACGGAACTTACAATCTAGAAAACTGTAGGGCGGCGAAAAGTTGTTTGAACTGATGTCTAAAGCAATTTAAATCTTCTGAAACAAATATTTAACTGGTTAAAGTAATTTCATTGTTTATTTGTAAATGATTCACTGAAAATTAAGTTTAAATTGGTTCTTTTAATGCACGTTAAGTTCCATGAGGTGTTTGTTTATATTACTCGAAAGCCTTGAAAAGGTTTGGTTTGGTAAGTGGACGGAGGGTTCAACGGAGGTACAGTTTGTCGGAGACGACCTTACAACAGGGTAAATTTGAGGGGTATGGTTCACAACAATGCACTTAAAACGACGATTTTTTCCGAGGTGTCTCTGCCACGTGGAATCATTCAGAGCATCGAGACACCTGGCAGCCGACTAGTTAGCGACCAACCCCTATCCTCATCACCTTAGGTAACTCACATTGCCTTCTTCCTTTTAGACTACAGTGATAACCAGATAAAAATGGAATAGGAAGACATTATAGCAATATTTAAGTGTATTTGATGGTGTTACAAAGCAAATGGTTTTACCAGACACTTATAAGATAACTTATATTGTGAATTGGGTCTTTTTACACTGCACAATTGCTGTGTTGCGTGGACATTGAACTATTTAAAGTAAAAAACTTGATTCTAAAAGTCGTCTTACTATTCCAGAGTATTTTGGTTATCACTGTACTTTATACCTTTCTCACACTCAACAATTCTATTTCATTTCTATTGATTTAGCATATTTTATTGTATTTATTGATAATTCTTCTTGTCACTTTGTTTGCATCAATTGGATCATTTTCATATTTTCTTTGATACAGCATCATGTCGGAAATATAAGATTTAATACGGCACCACAAAAGGAATTTATCAATTTAACTTTCATAATATTGCTAATCAAGAGAAATCGCTTAAAGGAGCTGTATTGACGTATTTTTAAGTGACCCTCTTTTGATAGAGTGGTAATATCGATTCACAAAGACTCGTATAACCTTTTCTGATCAACAATGAACTAGACATTAATGTTTTTATTTTTGAAAATTGTTTATTTTTGTTTGTTGTTGCTCCTTGAAAAGTGACATTTAATAGAAAAGTTATAGACTATTTAAAAAATTTGAAACTCCGACTGGTTGTTTGACTGTCCTCTACACTTAAAATAAAATGTTGTCTAATACATGGAGTTGTAAAAATATCTAAATAAGGTTTGTAATTTCTAGAGTTTATAAGATCCGCCCCACGATCTACACTTCCTAACCTATGGCCTCTCAATCAATTGTCCAATTTATTTTCAAACCCGTAATCCAATTATGTTTTATTTAAATCCCTGCGCGCAGCTTTGTATTTTCATGCCGCATTCTATTAAGCTTTTTTTACAGAAGCAATACAAAATATTCAATGTGCTAAACAAGTGTTGTTTTAGAAATAGAAAGTTTTTCTAGATTGATAAAAAAATTAAGACATTTACAATTAACTATTAGAGACAACAATTTAATTGTATCAATTTTCAAGAGAGAAAAACGACCATATCTTCCTCATTGTTGCTCAGATACAGTTTTTAAAGGGAACCCCAGAGAAAGTAAGTTTGATATTACGTAAACAGTCCCTTTGAAAACTAATCAGTAAACTTTGATCCCTCTTGAATAAAGAATGTTATAAAATATAAATTTTTTATCTTTCTGAATCTTCAATCTAAGTTTGGCAGAACAATGCTAATTGTTCAGAGTTATATCTTGTTTGATGATTAATACATCTAAAGGCTGGGATGTGTAAGGGAGGGGTGTAACTATAGGGTCGGGAGGGAGGGTGTACCTAGGGTCGGGAGGTGGGGGGGTGTATTTACAATATAATACAAGAGTCCGAGTGTACCCTCGGGATAACTATTCTATAGTTTTTGTATGGCTTTCTGTTATTGCGCAATTATCCAAAAGATATAAGTTATAATATCTATTGGACAGAAGAAAATAAATCTAAACCAATCAATTTACTTTTTGTTTATGTTGGGGGACAGTGGGACATTTTAGAGGGCCAGCTGGGATAACTGGTTTTTATCACAATTTTCTATTTAATATGCATGCATCTTGCGCCTCCTAATAAGAAAGGACAAAATAAATTTATACTTTAAAGCTTTGCATTTACAAATAGTTCATTAACTAGCTTTCATTGATCAAAAATGATTTCAATTTATAATAACTTTTCCCGTTCAAGAAATTACATCAGATTCAAGACCGCCTTTAGCACTGAGGAGAATGGCTCCATCTACATCCAGAAGAAAGAGGACGACAAGAAAATGAGAATCGCGTCTCACTACCGGAAAAAGGAGAAAAATGTTAAACGTATACACAGTCTCAGAACTGAAAGAATAAGTCGGTCTTTAGATTACTGGTATGATTTTTCAAACATATTCGCAATTGAAAAACTTTTTTTAATGGTGAAGATAGTGAATACCAGGTTAACTGTATATATTATGAAGCTTCAGATTTTGTACATGCATTAAATGTATCTAAATGTGATTTTGCAGCTTTTTCATTTAATATACGAAGTTTACCGCGGAAATGAGATGATTTCTTACAATTAATTTTAGAATTAAATCAAGGAAACTTTAGTTTTGATGTTTTGTGTCTTGAGTTTTCCTAAGTTTTTCTAAACTGACATTCCTGGGTATAAGCCTGTAGTATGAAAACTTCGTAAACAAAGGGAAAATTTAAGCTCTCTTGTAGGAGGCGGAGTTGCTTGTTGGGTTAAACACGAACATGATTTTGAAATCATTGATAGTTTATCCGTTTTTGAGGAAAATATTTTTGAATCCATCTTTTTAAGGGTAAAAATTTCTCCCAAGAAATTCAAAATGATTGGTAAAATATACAGACCTACCAATTCTAATATTGATAATTTTATTTAAATATTAGATACATTCTTAAAAAAGTTTACTGGCCAATATATTAAATTAAGCTGAGGAAGTTGAAATAATAGGAGATCTAAATATTAACTTGCTTAATCACAATTCTCACAATGCTACATCTAACTTCTTGAACACCCTGTTATCACATTCACAATTTCTGCTAATCACTTTGCCTACGTAACGTATCTAAGAAACTTCTGCCACACTTCTTGATCACATTTATTCTAATTCAAACCCAGATTTAAAAAGTGCAGAATTATTTATTTAAGTTTCTCTGATCTTTTACCTGTTTTCTCGTTAACAAAGTGCTCTCAAAATGAATATATTCCTGAGAGTCAACCAATTTTAATTAGAAATACTTCAATTAAAAAAAAGCAAAGTTTAGGGAAAATTTTCTACTAAATGACTGGGCATCTATGTATAATGATAAATGAAGGCCCTTTTACTGCATTTTCTGAATTTTCTAGCACTTTAAATAATATCTATAAAGACAGCTTTCCCTATAGTCAAAACCCAAGCAAAAATAAGAACCCCATAAACCCTTGGTTTACATCTGCTTTGCTAGTGTCTAGAAAAAATAAAGAAAAACTATTTTAGAAAAAAATGTTAAATCCAAATCCTATAAATATATCTGCTTTCAGAAAATACAACTCTGTTCAGTTTGATTGTTATCAGTAAATATATCAGGAACTAAATGGCTTTTTTTATTATATGAAATTATAGAATTAGCTAAGGTCCAGGTTTTTTTATATCTTTTGAATATTCTTAAAACTTTAATTAAAAAGGCCAAAGCCAGTTATTTTACTCAAAGTTTTAAGAATATTCAAAATATATAAAAAAAACCTGGACCTTACTTAATTCTATAATTTCCAGTAAAAAAGTCATGCAATTCCTGATATATTTACTGATAACAATCAAACTTTTGTAGGATCTAGTGAAATAGCAGAAGGTTTTAATGATTTATTTGTCAACGTTGGACCTAGGCTGTCTAGTTACAGTCCGGAATCTAATGTCTCTTTTTAAACGTATTTAAAGAGTCTATAAATGAAAATTTTGTTTTTGCAAATGCAGGGGACATTAGTTCCAAAACACTTGACCCATGGGCACTAATCGAAAGACTGGGTTTTTGGGATCCTGGCCTATATCCAGAATTATTCCCGTGTAAAAGTCAAACAAAAAACTATAACCAACTTTTATTAAACATAACGAGAACAACAATTCCCAATTTTAAACTTTTTTTAAAAATCAAAATTATAATAAACGTTCTTTTTATATTAAATCTCTTGATCGTCTTCAAGACTGTGACAGGTTTTCCATCTTGGAACATATCCTGAATTTTATACATTGTCGCGTTTTCGAGACAAAACCCACTTTCCTGTTTTTGAGTATAATCCACAATTCAAAACAAATCTCACGTCATAACTTACAAAATAAATCACTGAAAAAATTATCTGATGAAGACTAAATTAACTTCTGATTTATTTTTAGAATCTAAGCTTCTACATTTTATCTGTTAAATTAGAGAATATCGAGGATTTATTTTCAAGCATTTTAGACAAACAGTCTCCCGCATATCTAGTTAAATCTATATTGTAAGAACAAATGATATTAATATTTTATTTCTAGATGCTGTAATGATTTTTAAATTATAAATAGGAAATGAGATATTTGAAAGAATTGGTGATGACTGTGTGAACAAATATTTCAAATTTGTTGGACTTAAACTTGACGAATTTTTTAAACTGTGGTTTTCAAATTGAAAAAAAATTGCATAGCTCAATCTTTGCTTTGTCTCAAATTTAGAATATCTTACCACTAAACATTCTGTTGAGTGAATATCGGGCAAATCTTAAAATCAAGAATAGGTTTCTTCAGATTCACAGTTACGTAGTTAAAGAATGATTGAAGAGTAGCAGTATTTATTTCTTCATAACAAATTTTTAAACTGAAAAATACATATTTTTTGCTCTACAAATATACAATTTTTAAGCGAGCATATAAATGAGTACGAAAATAAACAAATCTAGGTTTTACAAAAAGGTTTACTACCATTGACGCTCAGGTGATGGAATAACTACTACAGTCAAATGGGTTTCGATCAAAGAGAATAGAATTTATATTAGAGGGGAATTTACTAGAAAAAAGTGTAAAACGGCCATTTTGTTGTACTGTTTCCATACTGCAGGTGTACCTCACATATTTATGCTATATAACCTTTTGGGCCCTGGAATATCATTTTATAGAAAATCTAAAATTAATGTTAAAAGAAAACCAAATTATGAAATTGGCTGGTTTCATAATTGACCATTGATCATTTCACTTTACAAACGATGATTTTCCGTTATATCTATAAATCAAATGATGTTTCTTATTCACCTAATTCAGTATAAAGTTTATTTAACAGCTTTAAAAAATTCAAAATTGAAATGAATAGTCTAGGGAACATACTGTATTAATGTACTCTACTGCATATAATTTGTGAACATTTGCATGATTTGTACACTTTGAACTCCCTTTAAGGCTGAAAGGGACTGAAAAAATTCATACCGAGAGATTCTCTAAATTCCCCTCTAATATATATTCTATTCTCTATGGTTTCGATATTACTGATAAATTTACAACACAATGAGTATATTTTGAACTTTGCAGTACGGTTTGTTTACCAAAACAAAAAACCGGTTTATAAAAACAGTTACTATCAGGGACGGTGCAATTTACATTTACAAATATGAAAACGTATAACCTTAAATTGGTTCGAAAATTACCATATATCACAAAACACATTCGTCTACTTGTTTATAACTCTCTTGTAAGGCTTTATATTGAATATGGAATTGTTACTTGGGGAGGGGTTAAAAACTCAGCAAAAAATCAGATCTCTGCAAAAAAAGGCAATCAGAGCGGTTAATAATAGTACTTTCAAGGCACATTCAAATCCATTATTTTCAAAACTGAAAGTTCTTAATCTTGATGATACATACAAACAAACTTAGTGTTCTGACATTTTGCATGGATACTTACACAATGTTTCCTAAATTGTGGAATGCCATTGAAATTTACCTTAAAGAAACTAAATCTGCAAAAATATTTGAACAGAGAGTAATCAATATTTATCTTGAAAATTATCAGAGGTTTAAATGCGAAAAACTAAAAAACTGAAACTTTATGAGCTCATTTGTGTTTGAGTATCCACTATTCTAAACACCCTGTATTTAAATTTATCACTACATAAATCACTCTCATATCACCCTGCCACAGATCACCTGTGAATCTCCTTCCTTCAAATCAACTCCTTACCTGTCCAATTTATGTGTGTAACCAATTATATTCAGTATCCTTAACTAACTTAGAGCCAACCACTCAAAACAACCTTCCCTGGTTGGGCGGGTCCAAACTGCATAGTAAAATGAATCTAGATTTATAAAAAGATTCTAACAACCATTTATCAAAGATTCTGGGGCTGTATTTTTGAAAAGCTAGCTGACTCTTCAGTTTTCAGTTTTAGTTTTCTTGTTGCACACCTGGGAATGTCTGACTTTGCACACAGTTTATCAAGCTGTTTTTAGGTCAGGAGGAGGGTAGAGGGATAGGATGAAAAAAAGGGTTTTTGCAATTGTTATTCTGTACTTAGAGTTGACCGTCCACATCCTAGTTCTGCCAAGTGCCTAGTATTCTTAAACATGGATCCAACATGGTTCACTAAGACATCAATTACAAATGTTGTTTGTGACAAATAGGAGTTGGAAATTTGGAATATCAGGGGACTCCCATTCAGGAATGAACCCTGTTTTTCTCTCGGATTTATACTCTTTCCGAGTTCTGCGGCATTTTCGGGTTAATACCCATTGGAGTTGCACCATTTTCCATTTTCAGTTTCCATTTTCCTTTCAGTTTCCATTGGAGTTGCACTGCATGGGAGTTGTTGGCCTTGAGGCTCCAGAATGTGGCATTTTTGCCTCTCAGGATTCTTCTTTCTTTGTTTCTCTTTTTCTTATTTTCTTTTTTTGTTTTTAAGGTGTTTTGCCACCATGTTTAATTTGCTCAGTTCTTCCTGACTGAATACAGGACCTTCTACTGAGAGCAAGAGCACTGCTTTCTATGTCCTAACCTTCCCAGTGCCAGCTTGCAACTAAGTAAATTATATTTATAATCATGTCTTTCAGATCTTGTTGTTTTTTTAAAATTTATCTTGTTTATCATTTATTCTGATTTTCTCTTTAACTGTTTTTCAAAATACTAATGGTTAAAAACTAAACAAAGACAAAAGATTATTTTCAAAAAAGTTTTATTTCTTCTTCTTGCATAATATTGACATGTTTTATGTAAAACTTAAGTTTTTTGTTGGACGTTTTTAAACTTCATTTAGTTTTCTAACTGCCCCTTTTGCAAAATGAATGCACTTATTCCACAGTTTCAAAATATCAGAAGAACTCCAGAGCTTAAACTAACCAAATGCAAGAATATGTAATATCGATTAGATTATAGAAAGGTTAGGTGGGTTAAAAAAAGTTGATTAGGTTAAGAAAGGTTAGATGGGTTAGGAAAGATTGGGTAGATTAGGTATGGTTGATTAGGTTCGGAAAGGTTGAGTAATAGGTAGTTGTTAGGTTAGGTTGAGTAGATTAGGTAAGGTTAATTAAGTAAAGAAATATTT